AGCCTCGATTCTGTGTATCAATCCGTGAATCCGTGAATCCGTGAAGTGCTTCCTATAACCTCTCGACTGAGCAGTGCTACACCCTTTTTTCACTTGTGCCTTTCAGGTGAACGACAGCCACTGACCGACAAGAACAAAACCGACCCGGGAAACTTGGGCAAAAGCCTCGATCCTGTGTATCAATCCGTGAATCCGTGAATCATTTAGCTTGTGCTTTGTATCTAAAAATGTAGGCTCGTGCTTTGGACACGCCGCATCCAGGGTGTGAAGTGTTTTACATATCTTCGAAGTTGTATCGGTTCGGAGTGTAAAGCGACACATGAGGTCAATGGACGAATATCTAAGGCTCTAGTCGCGTATGCTAACTTGAGTTACCTATGTCGCCAAAATGGAATACCCCTCGGTCTCAACTGAGCTGTATACCAGGCTACAGTATGGCCTGTTTTGTTGAATGGCTGAGACTTGGCTCGTCCAGCCACCAGGACTGAGAAATTTTTCGTTGTCCGACAATCCTTGTCTCAGGACCACAGATTGTGCAGTTTGAAGCACATCAATGAGGCATCGGCGTTGAAACCTGATGTCATGTCGATGGTGAAGATGATGTCACAGAATCTGCTATGAGGCAATCAGAAGACGAGTATTCGGCTGCCTAATTTGGAAAAGCGAGTTTTTAGCTGCCTAAGTTACTATGATGGGTTTTCGGGTGTGAAATGGGGACTTCCATTGGGGAATGTGTCCAGTACCATAAACTGCGTTGGTTAGGCCATATATCGCGTAGGCCGAACCATCTTTCGCCGAAGACAATGCTGTTTTCCGTGCCCGATTCAAAGCAGCGGAAGAGGAGGTGACCAACTCTTGACCTGACAGAAGGGCATGAAAGAGATTTCGACGCGTTTGGGTGCTGTCGGTGTGAATCGCTTACCAAGATAAGGACCACATGAGCCCCACTGCGCTGGTTGCAAACGCTGCAAGATATGCTTCCTAATCGATGTCAATGGCGTTCTCGTTGTCAGTCTTTATCCAGATTGCCGGAGTGAGTGTCTGCAGGTGTAGGCACCTCGGAATGATTGTAACAAGCTAACACTAAGTCCCTTTCCTGTCCACCTTTATTCTTTTCCTCACAGTAAGGCTTTCAAATAACTCATGTTTGTCTGGCAGCGAAGTACCAGTCTTGAAAAACAATGTCAGTCTGTCACTGATGATGGCTACGATTCATTCCCCTAGAACCGCGAAGTTCATCTACCTGTACTCAAAATCTTACGGTGAAAAAAATATAAAAGAATTGGGGGAGAGAGCAAACCTCGTAATGCTCTCTCCCATGAATTGTGAGGTGCCTGCAACTTTAAGTGATCAATCAGTTAGTCTAAGGAGAAACTGGCCGAATGAGTGCCGCAGAAATCGCTTAGCCGCTATTTCCTGGAACGTCTCCAGCCAAAAGCAGGTTGGGTTGCGTGTGCCTCATCCTGACGGGCGTGCCTGAACAACATCACTATAGATCATCGTAACGTCCTATTAAGTCATTCGTTGATAACCACGCGGCTTCCGTCCTTCTCGAGGAGGCACGGTGAACAACATTCATATTGCCAGACTGTTTATCACTAGGCGTAGCACAGGGCCGAGATGCCACAAATGATAATTCTTGATGGTTTCTCCGCAACTGAAGGATCTGCAAAAGAACAAATTACCTGTTTTCCAGTTACCATATTACAAATTCATGAACTTCATCCGAAAGCCGCAGTGCATCTGACATACCAGTTTTCGAAATCCTAAAGACGATGCGCATCCATTTGCAGAGGCCAGGTCCCGCAGGCATAAAATGAAGGCAGTAGTAACGCTCAAAAGCAATCCGTGTGAGACGCTATCAGGTATGATCATAAGACTACAGTCAAGATCAAAGGATGACTGGCAGGGATTGTGGGCACATGATGGGTCAAGGCAGAGGGACAGCGTCATAGATGGGAAGCATTATCTGATGTAAACGTGGTTGTAGCTACCCTTTCGCCACATACATGATTGTACAGGTCATCGCCACTCGCTGGACCATGAGAACTATTTTTTTTCTTGCACTCAAACCACTCCACACAACCGCGACCCATTTGACTACACAGCTCACAGTCAGGCCCTCGTTCCCAAGACTCGTCCTGCCGCCACTACACACACAATTTACGGCCCACAAAGGTGACTCAGCTGACATCGACGGTCTACCCGCCGATAAGGTAACAGCAAGCCTTGTGCTGACACCCACACACACACAGACGTTCCTACATATAGGACAACACCACAACAACACAACACAACTCAACGCAGCTTCGCACGTCACACAATTCGGAGTAGAGCCGCTTGGGACTTACAACGCCTCACGCACGGATATTGAGGACTACGTGCGGCCACTACAACGGCTCAGAAAACACGAAACCTGCATCCGTACTCACAAAAGGATTTATCAACTCAAATCGGCAATACGATAAGTCCCTTTGTTCATTATTTACACTACTGTAATAACTTTGCCTCAACAAGCTGATATTGTTAATGCTCGCAGTTTTCTTGTTTGTATAACTAGCTCTCGGGACCTCTTAGAGCATTAACAAAATGGTGAGCCCGACGATTGTGAACTCACGTAACTTCTGATATTTTATTTCCGTTCGAACTCCCATATATCCATATTACTACTCATGNTTATTGACCAAGTACTTTCCGGTTTACCGTTTGTTTTTGTTTACTTAGATAACATTTTAGTCGCCAGTAATAGCGTGGAACAACATCTGGAACATTTACGCCTTTTATTCACTAGACTGCGCGACCACGGCGTTGTCATCAACGCACAAAAATGTATTTTTGGTGTGCCCACATTAAATTTTCTTGGACATATGGTTAACCAGGATGGTATATCGCCCACTGATGATAAACTCGATGCCATCCGAAATTTTCCTTTACCCACTTCATTTAAACAGCTTAAGCGTTTTTTGGGTATGATAAACTTCTACAGACGTTTTATTCCCAAGGCTGCATCATTGTTAGCACCACTCACCAATCTCTTATCCGGAAAACCCAAAACGTTTCATGTGACCGACTCCGCTATTTCTGCTTTTGAGCCTGTCAAAGCTTCTCTAGCGAATTCCTTCAAGTTGTTTTATTTACAACCGAACTCTGTATTGTTACTTAATGTGGACGCCTCCAATGACTCTGTAGGTG